AATTTTTTAAAAAAAAAAAAAAAAAAAAAAAAAAGAGAAAAAGCTGGGAAGAAGAAATAAGCAGAAATTAAACTCTAGAAGGGATAAACCCAAATAACGGTTGTATTAAAAAGAAAACAATAAAGTAGGTAATTCATAAACCTTTATGTGTTAAGTTAAAAATACTAGCAAAAATATACAATATGAGGAATGAGAAAGGGGATATAAACAAAGGTATAAGAGATACTAAAAGAATTCCTTAAAAGAGGCTAAAAAGTTACTAGAGAGTAACCATTAAAAAGATACCAGAAACAGAGGGATTCACAGCTGAATTTGATCTTATTTTAAAAAACAGATAAATCCAATGTTATTTAAATCATTACAAACAGATAAAAGTGGAAAGCTCTCAGTCCTTTAAAGAAGCCAGCAATAAAAAATTCTCCAGTATGTATGACATTTGTGTGTGTATGTAAAATAATTTATGTGTATATGTAAAAAGAAATTTCAGAAAAATTTATGTAATATTTAAAATATTATACATATATCAGGATTTTGTTGAGAAGATGATATGAACCCAATGGCATATCAATTTATATGTGTCTTTTCTATTTTTTTATGTGTGTCTTTTCTAGCTCTCTAAAATGAAATAATTTTGTTTTGATGTTTGGCTTTCCGTGGCTCTAGGGAGAAAACTCACTCGTCAGGCATGTACAAATAGTCTGCCCTATATACATAAAATATCATTGTAAACAAACAAGCTGGCATTCTAATAGATTTTTGGAAGGAAGGAAGGAAGGAAGGAAGGAAGGAAGGAAGGAAGGAAGGAAGGAAAGGAAGGAAGGAAAGGAAGGAAGGAAAGAAAGGAAGGAAAGGAAAGGAAGGAAGGAAAGGAAAGGAAGGAAGGAAAGGAAGGAAGGAAAGGAAAGGAAGGAAAGGAAGGAAGGAAGGAAAGGAAAGGAAAGGAAGGAAGGAAGGGAAGGGAAGGGAAAGGAAGGAAGGAAGGAAGGAAGGAAGGAAGGAAGGAAGGAAGGAAGGAAAGGAAGGAAGGAAGGAAGGAAGGAAGGAAGGAAGGAAGGAAGGAAAGGAAGGAAGGAGGAAGGAAGGAAGGAAGGAAGGAAGGAAGGAAGGAAAGGAAGGAAGGAGGAAGGAAGGAAAGTCCGAGGAATACAACTACTGGCTACTTCTCTGTTTCCAAACCCACACCCTGCTCAGACAGAGCATGAGTTTTCTGGGTTCACACACCGTCATAATAATCCTCTGTTGCAAAGCTTGGGGCCAGTCAGTTCTATAAACTTCATATAACTTTGATCAGCTCATCACCTCTGGTCCTCTTCACCAGTATTCGTTTCTTAGTTAAGCCCCTAAGAACAAGGGCCTATTATGAGGTCAAGGTCAATGGCATCCTACTTTGGCTTTGTGCTCCAAATGCACTGAATTACTTTTACTTCACACAATAGGCCTGGCCTTCAAGCCCTTGCACATACTTTTTCCTGTGCCTAGAAACCTTTCTTGATCCTGCAAGGCTGAACAAGGTGCTCCCTCCATGCCCCTGTTGCACCCTGCACACATTCCTTCTATGTGTTGTCTCCCTCACTAAACTCTAAGGTGTGTGAGAGCAGGCAATGTCTTCTGTGTAGACTAGCCACACTCAATCTGGCACATATTGGTTGAATAAATTTTGAAATGTCTTATGAGTCTTCATCCACCATTTTACAAAAGTTCTTTCTGCCACCTTAACTAAGATTTTGGCAACCTTCCGCCTAATCCCTGAGGCTTAATGTGAGAATTGGGAAACAGCAGACTTATTGTTACCCACTACCCTTTTTATTACATTGTTACTCAACTACCTCTCCTTAACCTGTCTAAACTTTAATTTCCTTATCTTTTAAATGGGAATCATGATCCTATTACCTACCTCAAAGGGTTGTGGTACAGTGTTCAATTGAACATTGAAAGAGTCCATATAAAGTAT